TAATTATATCCTGCCTGTGAAAGACAAGGAATCTTGAAAAAAGCAGCTAAAAGGAGCTGATCGCCGTTCTGACCGGCAGCAGCCGCGCCGCGACCTTCGGCCGCCTAGTCAAGTGCGCGTGATGACGACTTGTAGATGAGCGGTTGGCTCTTACACTTTTTGAATTTTGGAGCTTTTCCCCAAAGTACACACTTTAGAGACCCTGAACAGGTCACAGTGGTGAGGCACTCCATTAATAACACATGTGAAGTGAACGGAATCCCTGACGTGGACACTGTTTCAATTCCCTGAATCACCAGCTTTAACTGGCTCGGCTTTCTGTGATCAACCTTGCAGCAATCGAGAAAAAGCATAAAAACAAAAACATATTATTAGCAAGATATGAACAACAACATGGATAAATCTAATCAAATAATCTTCAATATCAGGGGAAAAAAACATATATTAAGCAAGATAAGAACCAATAACATGGATAAATCTAATCAAAATAATCTTCAGATATCAATTTGTGGATCGAGGAAATTTTCTTCTATCTCTCGAGATCGGTTTCATTACAAATGAGATTTTCGATAGTTTCCTGAAAACAATTAGATTTTCGATAGTTTCCTGAAAACTAATTAAAGTTCTCACTACAACAGAGGATGATCAAAAGGAAACCTTGGGAGGAAATTTTGTGATCAAGGAAAGAATACCTCAAGATCCGTCTCTCCGACGAGCACAGCTCCAACCACTCGATGGTTGAACATAATACATTGAACGAACTGGTCCTCATCGATTACTCTAGAAAAAGAGATAGAGTCAGCGTCGTCTACTGTTCGCGGACGATTCTCGCAGTCGACTGTCGATTTTATAAGTTGCAAATTTACCTCTCAACGTATACCAGCCCTCCGGCTGCCGCTCGGGCTTTGAAGTCGCCCAGAAAAACGACCTAAACAAGGCAATGGGGATGAGTCTGATTTGGAAACTACAAAACCACAAAGAATCGAGGGGAATCATCACCGGACCTTAATGGGGAAGTGAGAATTCGGAAGTAAAGACAAAGGCTGGGTAGTTTTCTTTTAACTTCAAACTTTTTTAACTCAGACCGAGGCGGAAGGTGGGGTATCGACAAGTGCGCGCTTACCACTCGCGCGGTCCGAGTTGAGTGTCGGGTTGACTCCCGCCCAGGTCCAAGCCTTCTACCCCCCCCCATGTACGGTAAACTGGTACCAGATTCGCCAGGAGAGATAAAACACTGACTTGTACATCAGCTGACCAACGCAAGTCATTATATAGGCCACATCGCATTCAGTAAGCTACTACGATTCTGAATGGAAGTAGAATGTGGCCGCATCCCACAAAGTGATTGATTACCCAGCAGACTTTATCCTTTTTTTATTCGTGACTGCTCATAGCCACACATGGCACAGGGAGAGTGCACGACAGGACGCAGCCCTGAAAAAGGGACGACAATCCAGGAATCTTGCCATCCCCATGTTAAGCTCTTCGTGAAGGCATGACTCGCTTGAAACCAAAAAAATGAGGTAGTATGGGTGAACAACTCGAAAGAAAAATCTTTGTCAACTTCTCCGTTGCGCTTCAATAGACCTGGCACAGTAATCACCCATTTGTCGTGCTTGTGTCCATAACCCGCATCTGAACTTGGACATAACATAATGTTGAAATTAAGGTCAATGTAACTCAGCAGTGGTAAAAAGTTCGGCGATGACGAGTGGAGGGGGGTGCATTTTGCATCTTCGTTGCTTCACTAGTTCCGGTTTGAAAGTCTCGCTGCTGTGAAATCTGTGACTCTTGCAAGTTCAGGACATGGCTCTCTAGATGGGTCGACCACGTTGATGGGAAGTAGAAAGAGCAAAATGCTCCTCCCGCACCGCGGGCACCGAACTGCCCCAGTTAATTATAGTCAATGTACTGTTCATAACACTACGCTAACCTGGAATTGAATGTGAATTTACGGGTACATCTTCCTCAATCATTATCACTAGACACACCATTTTGAAAATCTGCGAAACTATGAGTATCTTTCTAGAGCTCTCGATCATAACCTGGCCGGAGTTTTATACGTACCTAGTTATTTTTGCATGTTTGTTTTTTTCTTTAGGGGTGAAGGCAAACTGGAGAGTGAATAGGTCGCTTGAACCAACAGCATGCCCTTGCTCCCGAGTTACACGCCTAACTATAGCCAAACGCGCTAATTACGGCGGGATCTTGGTATCGAGGCAAAGGTGCACAAACAGTTGCATGCTGCTGAAAGCTGTGGGCCCATTCACCTTCATGGGAAAGGATCGCCCTCGGAGTGAGTTCAGTTTGTCTTTAACTAACTAGTACAAACGCCAGTATTCAAGCTTGCCACTTTCGATTTCAAGTCGTAAAATAAGCTCGTGAACCGGATTGAGTCTGGAGGGGGACAATGTGGCATAGAGAAGCTTTGCATACAGCATTTACGGCACAGACGAAGTCTACGACTGGAATCTTCGCGAGCTTCGGTTCACCAAATAGAAAAACAAGTTGGGAAACCTTTGATACTTTCTTCAGACATACCTGCTTCCAAAACGGTGACGGTCACTAAATGATATGCTGCATACAGCACCGCAAGCGTATAACATCAGGAATAGGATGTACGCATCACCATCATCGACAAGTATTCCTCCATCAGCATGAGAAATTTGCAGCTAAAAAATAAACTTGAACTAAACGGAATGAAACAATGGGTTTATCCGAGGTTTTCCTGTTATCCCGACACTGCTTTCTCACATAGCGCCACATTGAAGTAAATATGTGGAAAGAAGTCCATCCCAACGCAAGTGAAGGCTATGCTCTTCCGAAACTGGTCTATCGCAATTCTGACAGCATATGCATAAAAAGTAATTTTTCATAACCCCGAGAACACACACCAAAAAGTAAGTTAGCCGAATCGCCTTATAAAACAGCGAATGTGTATCGAAGTGTTACGTACGACAAATGCCGTTTTAACGCCGCAGTGGCCGCTCCGAAAGTTACCACGGGATGGTGAGTTATGAGTCCGGAGCCAGATACCACACGGGACTTCAACACCGCATGCCCTGATAACCGGACGTTGACCCACTAGGGCTGCGTTTATACATTGGCGGCAGCGTAGTGTAAGCGCTTTCAAGCGTTTCACTAGCGCGTTTCGCTATGCGTTCGGCAGTGGCGGGGCTGGAGAGCCAGAAGGAGTAGGAGAGTACACTCTCCTATGCTAGAGAATATAGAAGAGTTAGGAGAGTGCGAAATGCCTCTCCTACGCTAAGAGAGTATAGACAGAGTAGGAGTTGTACTAGATACTCTCCGTACCTAGAAAGTTAAGAAGAAGTAGGAGAGTATTTTTTACTCTCCCTACCTCTAGTTCTTCTTAAGCCCATGCCGCTGCAAAACGCTAGTGAAACGCTGGAAGCACTGCGCTACGCCTTACGCTTGCGCAAAGTATAAAGCAGATACCTTCTACGCTCTAACGGCTTTTTTGCGTATTCGATTCCGTCTAAATTTCTGGCTTTTCCCATAAGCTCAGCAGTCCTGGGATTTCGCGATTATTTAAACCGACGAGCTCCATTTTGGTTTGCGGAACAGTTCCTTCCTGGAGTCGACTCACTTCATCGCAGTTATTCGTCCATATGTCGTAGCTGGAACAACGGCCGTAGCCCTTATTAACAAGAAGGTCACACTGTGACGCTCAAGTTCCCAATTGCTTAAAGGACATTTCAACTCATTCTCCGAATCGGCTCCAGCTTTGACTTCCACACTTGCGAACAATGTTCACAGAGCGTCCTAAAAGTTAACAGAATGAAAAAAACCCGTAATATTGAACACGGCCACTTTAACCAAAAAATGTTAATGTTCATACGTTATCTGTTATACAAAGAGAAGTCGCGCAGAACTTAAAAGTAACCAGGCAATTAGTGGCGCAGCAGAATGGAAGCATTATCACACTTTCATTTTAGTCCTGATACTTGAGTATCGCAATGGCTCGCGCCAAGTAGATCCCACAATAACCAAGTAGCGACTGCTGTAGAAAATGAGAATAGCGTTCATGAATAGAGAATATTCACTAAACTTGAATGGAGGCAATTATTGTCGCCAGCAGAACACTCGAATTTCGAAGCAGCTTTTGGCAGTTTTTCTATGCAGTTGATATCGTGCGCAATCGGTAAGGCAGATTTCAAGAGGGAAAGAGTAACCCACCAGCTTTGTTTTCCTTCCACTTAGTTGTTTTCATCCCCTCGAATCAGTAACTGACGCGATCACTATTGGATAGGCAAGAACAGTCGGACGAAGGCTTATTTCCGCCCCTCCCAAACACACCTCCCAACTGACTGCCGACGTTACCACAAATAGCCCACACCGACGCACTCTTACTCGAGAATTGTGACGGCGTACTTGGAAAGCGGATGCCCTATTGCAATGGAATCGCAGGGCCAGCCGATGTACGATCAGCGTGTTATCTGCCTCTTAGAAGTAAAAAGCCACATGGTGAGCGCATGGTCCGAGCAGTGCACATGGTTAGGCGGTGCCAAACGAGCCAATCACGCAGAAGAAGATGCTTTCTATAGGTCGTCACGACTAACGGCGTTCAAAGAAAAAATAATCAGAAAAGAAGTAGATACCAATGCGATTAACGATAACCTCGGAGGTCACTCTCGAATGAAAGAGCAAAAGAAATCCACATAGGGACCAAGGGCACAGCCGAGTAACCTTTTGTGCAGCAACCTTCTTCACCTAGGTCGTCAAGACAATATCGCGGGCGTTTTTAGGCACACCAGCGTTCTTTCGTACATTAACAGTAGCGGTTACGACAAACGGATTAAGGGCGACGTTCCTATTTCTGGCCTAAGGTGTGGCTCGCAGAAATCTCTGTTTCCTTTTCGACGGTGGGTGGCATCTCGTATGATTCTAAAGCTCCGATTCTTTCCTCATCGCCTTCAAATAGCGATTTGCCTTCGCTAAAGCGAAAATAAGAAGCTCATGGTTCCCCCATAATGCCCATTATATCTCTGCTGCCTCTTGTTTCTTTTGTAAATTCCACTTCCTGTTTCGCGATAGAAAATAATGGCAGGGATTGTTTGCGGCTGATGAAAGTCACCCCCCTCGCGACTATTACCCGATGTTTTGCCTCAGGAATGAGCCACTTTTTTCTAATTTCTTCTTAAGGCTGGTTCACGACTGTGCGAATAGTGTGTTTTGCAACGCGTTTGTAGCGAACCGGCGCTTCGAAAGATCAGGCGTTCGAGCGAAAAGCAAAGCATAGAAGATCGATCGGTGCCCAAACGGCTGATCTCTGGAATTGCTGACTCAGCCGAAGACGCTCGTGAACGCTTGCTCTCCCAAAATGACGGCGAAGAGGATGCCAATCGAAAGCTATGACTAAAATTTTCCATTCAACAAGCTAAGTCGCTAAAGTATAGAACGCAACATAAACACTTTTCCAGAGCCTCCCAAATGCAAACGAGAAAGGGGCATTAAGTTAAAGAAAAAAAAATCGGCGACCACCTCGACGTCCAGCTTCAACTTTCTTTCTGAAAAAACTCCGCGATTGGCCGGATGAAGATAGATATGAAGATTAATCGAGTCAATCGCGGATAATCCATTGTCATACTTCGACGCCCCTTGATATTCGAAACTGTAACACATCGTGAACTACACTTTTATAAAGATCTCGTGGAGTAATGTACGATGCAAAACTGTGTTCGTGGTGGAAACAGCCATACAGTGGTTCGGTCGCGCCATAGCTAACTCTGTTTCTGAGAAGGCGAGAGTTTGGATGAACACCTTTAGCATTATGAACTCAAAATATACGAGTGATCAACCCCGAAGCGAAGATTCCTTTCATTCACAAGATGAAATGGCAACCTACTATACCTTTTAGGAAATATTTAGAAGCTAGCCGAGTTTACAAGCAACATTAGAGCCCTAGTCGCTTCAGAACAAGGAACCCACTGTACACCACTTCACGTAGCGAAGTCTCCATTCCTACAACAGCTATACGTTTAGATCCTCGAAGACGGCGCTGCAGCTGCTCAGCAGACTCCGTGTGCACGAAATGCGTCCAGATATCTAGAAACATGTCAAAAATCTAGAAAATTATACGAAGGCGAGAGCGGAGATAAGGCATGCACAGGAGAGGGGTGAAGGAGGTTTCGCTACTGTTATGATCAACCTAACTCTCTCCTGGCCTTTATCACTCACCCTTATTTCAGGTCGGCACGTCCCTGCCGGCGAGGAAATTTCTGGGGCAAAATACGATCTCGCCCGATGATTTCGCTTTTCTGAATACACCCCCCACCCTCTCCTCATACTAACTACCACCTCCCAAAGTTTTCCTCAACTTCCTGCATTTATGCAGTTTATTTTTTCAAAATTCTCTTCATTCTTCACTCGAAAGAGTGCCAGACCAAGCAGAGGGAAGGTAGAATCAGTTGAAACGATGAAAAGTTGAGAAAGTCAACAGGCTGAAACATTTCCCGAAGCAAATGCGATTCTTCTCTCCTCAGTGACGCAATTGGCGGACGTGACCCTCGGCGGACCCGCTAGCGTACGACATGCCTACTTCTACTCCTCTCTTTCGAGAATATTACCGACTGGTGCGCAGAGGACAGGATCAAGAAATGAACATTGTATAAATCGGCGTAACAACGCGAATGTAAGTAGAATCTATCGGTACATGTAGAACTTGTAAAAGGACAAGGGCGACAAAAGGAACTGGTAACACTAGAAATCTTAGCCTTATCATTGACAAAAAGGTGTAACTGGAAGTGGACCCGTTGGGCGATACCACAACTTGTCATACTTCACCGCATCGTTTATCGGCTGAGAACAATTCTGATATGAAAATATTCAGAGAAATATTTTCCCTGCAAAAATTATGAATAAACCTAAACAGAAACGAAAATGAACGGAACGATGCGAGCAGGTGCTGTAGTTTATGGAGTAACAATATTAGGAGACAGACCCGCACTATTTTCAAGACAACGGGTACGAATGCTAGAGGCGGGCGGTTGTTACCCAGCGTCATATGGCGCAAAGGCGCGAGAGGCCGTTGACTCACAGACTTGTCCGCTTCCACCAGTGGACGTTGACAACACCGCCCCGCTCAACAGCCATGCTACCATTCCCGAATCAAGCGCAGCAATTTATGGCTGAGGAGGGGCTCCTCACTGTTGTACGTGCTCATGCTGAATCGAAGGCTGTCCATTGTTGCATAAAACATGCGTCGCTTGAAATGAATGAGTAGCACAAACCGAGATTCACACTAGAAAGAGTACTTATTTGCCTACAGGAGTCGTACCGAATCCTTGTTTTTTAGTTGGCTTGCGCACTTGTAGGTAATTTTAGGTGGCAGGACGCGGTTCAATCACTTTACAACTACAGAGAAGCAGGGATCAAGAAAGTCGCCAAAGGAAAGCGCAAGTAAAAATGCCGCAAAAAGTGGGAGAACAGGACAGTCGATTCAATTTGCCATCTATTACTCCTATGAGGTTCGACCTATTCCCTTCCAATCAGGATACAACGTAGGCTGAAGTATCTCATTCCAGGTCGTACATGGTCTGTTGCTGGGAGCTGTGGTCCTACCTGGCAATAAGGTCTTGTGGAATTTGGAAAGTTCGGCGAAGCTACGATAGAATTTTCTCGGTTGTCAACTTTCCGATTGTTCACTACATAAGTGTTATTACCTAAAAGTGAATAAGCGCTTATTAGTGATGACCTTCCCGTCCCGTCCCCCCCTCCCGCCCACCACTATGTTTTATGACAAAATTGAAAAATATCCTCTCAGTAAAACTGTAAAAAATGTCGGAAGTTTAGGATTACACAGGAAGATGATAACAAATGGGGAAGATAAAGCTCGTATCAATAGAAGGAATTCGGGGAGGGGGGGGAGGGGGGTGGATAAAGTATCAAGGCTGCAGAATTTCCAAAAATTCAGGACCACAATAATACGGAAGGTGTCTATGTGCCACGTTTAACGCGTGGGCGTCTTTGCGCAAGGTTGTCAAAAAAAAAAACCGCTTCACGAAGACTGTCGCAGCTTCCCACACCACGATGAGTGCGTACCCTGCCCTTCTCACCATATCGATATTACACTTCTTTGGCGCGCGTTCTCCCCATTTCCTACTGCTCGAAGTATGCACGCGGACCTAAAAGGTATGGACACTAACTCACCTTATTTTTGAGTCCCATCGTAGCAACTTCAGCTTGGATGAAGATGAAGAGGATCATCCGACTCAATGTGATCTTTTCACAACGATTGCTGCGCTATGCTGGCGACCTTGAAACACTATAGCCATGAAGACCGTAAAAGTCGTGACCATGGGCAAAAGGATGGAGCTCGTACTCAACGTCTTACCATTCTCCATTTTGTCAACTGTTTTACCCGTTTAACTTAGCAGAGATCAAAATGATGTTAATCATCACTGAGTAGTGATACCGAAAGACGTCTCATACAAACACACACCCAGCATCCCACACCACGATCACGTAGTTTCATTTTTTGCACTTTCCAGCTGCAAAATAATGCGTTAATTCTGATGAAAAAAAAAAACTAGACAGCGTCTAGGGACGAATCCACATACTTGCTTTGATTCATGGGATTGCAGCGGGTAACCAAACACTGGCAATAAGCTCTCTGTCTACTCAAGCCTGTAAAAAATAGTAGCAGTAGGGTGAGACCTTCGTTCCTGTCACAAACCGATGGGAATGAAGCGCGTTATGAAGGGAGCTCAGACTGGGTTCAATACTTTGCTTTGCTGGCTCCACCAGCGGACTTTTATGGAGGATGGAGCCGCAGTTCACGCGACGGGCAGTTCTTGACGCAAGTATGGGAACAGTGTCCGCTATAGAGATGTTTAATTCCCTGTCGTTGGCTGAAAGAGTACTGCTCGTACTGTTAGACTGGAGATGTGCTATGACTGTTATCCTTCGAGTGACTACCGAAGGATAACAGTCATACGAAAACACTTCAGGGACTAATCTACGTGGTCGATAGCGCTGACAGAGAGCGTACAGAAGAAGCTCGTGGCGCACTTCATTCACTACTGCAAGATCCAGAATTACAAGGTCGGTTTACTCGACGCAGTTTGTATGGTTGATTGGAACACGTGGTAATGTTTCCAGCTGGTTCCAAGCATGAAGTTGTATGCGTTCCTTGATCTACCAGTGAAATAAATGGTACTAGGCAAAACCTGCAGAATCCCTCCAAATAAGATTCTCTTCTGCTGCAGAAGTTCAGGGGCGAGAAAGAGCCAAGGGACTTCGCGAGCGCAGTCGATAGACCAGGGCAAAGCTCGCTCAGACCGTCTTCTTTCCTCAAAGGATGGTAAAGTGGTAACGGATTCGTTTGGGGGGGGGGAGGATAAAAACCCTGAGGTGTGGCTGGCCGCGCAAGTCATTACCACACTGCATCCAGGAAGCACACCACCATTCCGTATGGAAGTAGAACGCGCGCTTAACCCCAAAAGGGGATTGATCGGTGGTGAAGCCTTTATCCTTTTATCCTCTTATGTAATGTAGATTCAAAGAAGTCCACTGTTCTGAGCAGTGGCCAGAGGCGCGACTTACACTTGAGAGATTCATGAGTACTGACCACGTATGTGCTTTCACACACGCACCTTGCATACCATGGGCATCATGCCATACGACGTTACACTTGTTGTAGATGCCAAGCTATTGGTATTTGCCAACAAGCAAGACCTTCCGAATGCAATGACAACGGTGGAAATCACGAAAGCCTTGGAACTGGAAGCAATAAGGAATAGAGAGGTAAGCAGGCTCTACACCATTTTTTTTCATGATAGCGTTTTGTGATGCATGTAATTATTCCCAAGCCAACACAAGTAACCAGCCTGAGACTCAAAGTACATTCTTCAGTGGCACGTTCAATATACAAACGCTATCACCGGTGAGGGTCTTATAGAAGGCCTCGAATGGCTTCACTCTGTCGTCTTCAAATGACAAATCAGATGGTGTTGGAAGCTGCTGGAGACATGGAATTTGCAAGTCTTGCCAGTCTGGCACCAGCGGAATCCGATAGATTTGTGCAAGAACAGAAATGGAACTCTTCCTCTTTTTTATCTCAAAAATATTAGGTTGGTGGGAAAGTTCTGTCACACTTTTCCGAACTCCAAAACTTGCCCATTACCTGAAGAGAGGCAACCGCTAATGTGAGCATTTATACATCAAGAAGTAGTCTTTCTATAACTACCACTGACTCCTGCTTCTTCTTCTGTAATGTGGAGAAGGGTTTTATCCGCTACCATCGGCACCGACTCCTCCAAGCACTTCCTCAAACCCTTTCACAACAACCATGACGCCAGCATGACAGCTGCAGATGTCAAAATAATGGAGCTGAATAAGGTCGATGCCCTCAAATATTGGACATCTTCCATGATGCTAATGCTTCAAAGCGGGAGCCTACAACAGTTCCAATGACGAAGTGAATTTGGGATTACCTGTGAACTCAGACTGAGGGAGCTGCGGGACGTGAAAGTACTGGATGAAGAAGCTGCTTCATCGGCCAGTGCGTACGCAAAGCAGCTACGAGATCTGAAGCGAATCATCGATAAGGGGGAAAAATTTGTCCGCACAGCCCGCCGCCCATCATGGTGCGCATCCGTCCAAAATAGGTCAAGCCGTACGTCATGCAGTATATCTCGATCGCTCTTCCCTTGCACCGGTGTAGCACAGACATGATTCTTTCTAACTGCAAGTTGCCTCGCGTGCTCAATCGTTATGTGGACGAGGAAACCTCGATATCGTTTAAGTCAAGATTGAGATGATTTCCAACTTTGCGTCGCGTCTCCCTGCATTGTGAAGCGATGGCATCCATGAGGTGCACAAAAAGTGGCAAGAACCCCGCAGTAATATTGCTGTACAATTTTGATCTTACACGCCTCTCTATAAAAGGGAAGCCCAATTTGAAAAATGTGACAGAACTTTCCCGCCAACCTAATACACACCCGCTGTACACTTACCTCCGAGGATCCTGGCTTAGGCCATGTGCAAGGTGAACCGGTTCACCACTGTAGAAGCGCAATTTTTTCGCCACTCGAAAGTGCGCGGAAATGAGGTCCGAGAATAGTGGTGCCCTGGATATTGGGGCTGTACTCTGAGGCAAGGCACGCAGCACGCGACGCGCCGCTCTAGAAACTACAGGCTAGCGAGCCAATCACGCTTCCTGCCGACGACTGTCGCTTGGATAAGTGCTCTTGTTTGCTGTCAACGTTGTTCGCTGCAGGACCTCATCATTAACGCACATACACGGAACATTAGCCATCCACCAGTCACTGAGCTCAGACCTCATTTTTGCGCCCTTTCGAGCGATCAAAGTGGTACACTTTTTAAGCTGCGGACGCGCTCACCCCCCGCATGACACAGAACCACATGTCTTCAGATCATTCATGGAACTATATATAGTTGCTAAATAAAGAATTTATAGTCTGTCCATAACACAAATGACGACAATTTGGTTAGTCATGTTAATAAGGGAATAGAGTTGGAGCTATTGGAGAACGTAAAGCATTTAACCCCAAAACTCCGCATCAAAATTGCTACTCCTAGGGTAGCATTCATTCCTGTCTCTCTACCAGGTACCGGCATGTTGAGTGCCGTTTTTTGGATCGCACTTCTGGACGACCTTGCATCGTTCATAATTGACAGTTTCAATAAGTTCTTATTAAGCTAATCATTTTTGACTAGTATATCGCCCATTACTTTCAGTTTATGGCTTCCACTCACACGGTCTTCAAATTTCGGTTTGATCTCCGCCCCGGAAACCAAGCTTTCTGCCCTCCCCCTCCCCACTCCTCCCCTCCCGGTACGGGAATTCGGTAATGCTAATAGATTCGCCCGGAAAATAAAGCGGCAACGTTACGTTTCTACGTTGTAGCCCAAACCGAGGGAGGGAGCGGCTCTCTGGAGGCCACTAGAAAACTGCCGGAGACGCACATCTCTTTCTCGAAACCATTTTGAAATGTGTTCCACGTCGCTACTAATGAAGTGTCAGTGATAAGGATACCGGCAGCCAGAAAACCCCATGCGAAAAAAGCTGACCACTGCAATGCAGGCATTTTTAGTTCTTTCACAACGAGGATAAGTTCGACGCCCTCTATAGTACTTGAGATTCCATCCTATTGATAGACTCGATGAAGACAGAACCGTCAGCTGGCCTTGTGGGGCCGCTTCTCAGAAAATATCCTAAAGGGAAAACCGCAGCCAAAAGAAACTTTTGCGAAGTAGCATTCCAAAGGAATGCCGAAATTATGAACTCTGCATCATAAAATCGTGCGCTTAACTATTCTTCAAACAGGTGTATAGATTGAGGCCGTTAAAGATTGTTATAATTTATTGGCGCAACGTTTCGGCTACCTTCGCCTTCGTCAGGGCCTGAAAGAGTCCAAGAACAAAGATCTGTCCCCTCAAACGCCCTTAACAAAAACTTAAGACTATTTCGAGATCCTAATAAACACCTAACGGTATCGATCGTGAGGTGAGTAAGGCTTACCTTGATCTCAGCCGCGACGACGTGAGACCGACCACCCAAGCTGTAGTACTGATTAGTGAGCTGCTACCTCCACCCCGCGACCTCGACCTCATGTAGATAAAAAACCGCATAGGTCGGCAGAGGGCGCGAGTTCACGGGTTATGGCTGATCATGTCCTCTTTCCTGTTCATTAGGGGGTCTTTCGCCGAAATCCATAAACGCTTCCAAGCTTTTTCCGCGCAAGTGATTTCAGGCTCCTGTGCCAGGATGGACACCGTCACCTGAAATTCTCCATCCCCATGATACTCAAACACGATGGCTACCAAGTGGCAGCCGGACCTGTGATCTTCGCAAGTCATCCAAGTGCTCTTTAGCACGTACGCTACACAAAAAACGGCCCGTTTCCCCCCCCCCACATATTCACTATCACATGTGAGGCAAGCGTATTGAATAGATCACCCCGATTTCATGCAATCACTCTGCTCTATGCCGGAGGGGCACACCACACATTTCGGGGTATCACATGAATAGTCATAGAGGCGATTACGTACGAGGAGAAGTTTTTAAATAAGTTGTTTGGGGGTATTTTACCACCCTAACGTCTTCTTGCAAGCCACATCTGTGGCAGACTCGAACGGATCGCTCGGCTAACTTTTCTTCCGGATAAACGGGAAACAAAATGGTACTTTCTCCGGAAGATTATTCGGTCCTGTGATCCCGTGACGTCTGGTAGATCCTGCGCAATGGTCGCGACTCCGAATAACCATTGGAACCGCAATCTTTTAGCGCCAAATCGACCGATTCTTGCTCTAATGCAGGATCAGAGAGAGCCGCTGCTGGCAGTTTTAAACGTATTGTTAACGACTGCTTACTTTGTCCTTGTCGGATGTGCTGAATTGCAGTGAAGAAGAATATTCCTTATTGCTCGCTTGCGGTACCACTTGGTTCTAACCGTGTTCCCCATTAAGTGAATTTGAATATTGAGGAAGGGCAGCCAGTTCTCTACAGGATGTTCTCGGTTAAACTATATTGATGGACTGTTCATTCTAAAGGTCGAAACACTTATCGATTTCACCTTGTGTGTGGCATATTATGAGACAGTCATCAATATAGCGACAGTAGAGAAGAGGTCTGCGATCCAGCACGGGTTTCTCGATTCTGGACATAAATGTTATGGCAAGAATAGGGGCGAGCCGCTGCCCCATAGCTAATCCCCGCAGCTGCCTGTAGTATGTGCCTGACCATTTGAAGATAGAACACTTCAGACACTCTCCCAAGACTTCCATGATCTGAGGAATGATGAACCCAAAGAGGTTGAGCGTACGTTCGTGCTCGCACAGCAGTTCTTTGCCGACCTATGCGGTTTTTGATCTACACGAGGTCGAGGTCGCGGGGTGGAGGTAGCAGCTCACTAATCAGTACTACAGCTTGGGTGGTCGGTCTCACGTCGTCGCGGCTGAGATCAAGGTAAGCCTACTCACCTTATCGATCGATACCGTTAGGTGGTTTACTAGAATCTCGAAATAGTCTTAAGTTTCGTTAAGGCGTTCGAGGGGACATATCTCAATTGTTCTTGGACTCTTTCAGGCCCTGACGAAGGCGAAGTAGCCGAAACGTTGGCCAATAAATTATAACAATCTTGGACGGCTCAATCTATACACCTGTTTGAAGATACATCAATGCCAAGTTTAAGAGAAGGTCGGTCCTGCACGCCTAACTATACTTCCCAATTAGCGCACGCCATTGTTGTGGAAACCACCATGGGGACAATCGCATCAGACCGGGAGGAAAGGAAGGAAATTCGAAGGCAGAGACAAGCAGCAAACTCAGAAGTAGGGAACGGCCAATGGCAAGAGGTATGATTACCGTCTGCGACTTCATGAATTGATAAACAAAGGGAATCACAATTCATGCTGAGACACATCTGAACGGCAGAAGCACATTTGCTCGCCCAGAGAATCCTATCTGGCAGGGCACATCGTTGTTGGCGAATCCCCAACAGGGGGGGGTCGTATTTGGCCGTCATAAGAGGGGGACCGTATTTGAGCTGGGAAAAGTTTATTTTGATAGTTCATTTTTCTGGCTTCACGGGCGTTGTAAAAGGGAGGAGGGGTCGTATTTACGTTTTGGCTTTGTAGGAACGGTGTTTGACTTTCTGTGATTTTCCTGTTTCATGCGTACAGTCCTCATCATTGCGGACCGGCGGGGTGTGTCAGTGCGGCTGCGTTTGGCGCGGCGCCGAACTCGTTCTGCACTAGTTGTTGAAATGGGCAAGTGACATTACTGTATTATATCCCTCGTATTATTCGTTTTCTACCACTTTTCGTCGCGTACGCGTTTCAACAAAAAGGCTGAGAACGGCTTCAACAGTGTGCACACTCATACTGGTTGACACGCCCACCGGTCCGCAATGATGAGGACTGTACTATATACCCCTTCCCCCCACTCGACGGCTCGATTCGATGGAGGGAGG